TCACTGGCAAAACTCAAATAGATTCACTGCTGCAGCGCCATCTACCAAAACTAAACGAAACTAACTGCTGATGTGATTCTAAGAATCTGCTAGAATAACCAAACTATTAAAAACGCACATTAAGTATGGTTAAAATTTCAATTTCGGTGTATTTAAAAATATAAATTAAATAGAAAACTCATTTATGAAAATATAAAAATATTTTGAAACAATTAAAAAAAATTAACATCAGCTGCACCGATCGGGATTCGAACCGCGACTTCTCGCAAGAAGAAAGCTCTAGTAGAAACTGCTCGACTACGAGATCCCCTGAACCCTTCGAGCAATAGCTATTTTAATCATTTTTTGCGTATTTCTGCTTACACAAGACATACGCACATACATACACACACATGCATTATCGATAGCAAAATAACGGGGCAAGTTATTTCAAGCAAAACTCGATATGCGCGTGCTATACACGAACCTAGGAAAAAAATTTCAAGTCTCTAGCTCTTATATCTTTAAAGATCGACGCGTTCAAACATACGGACAGACGAACGGATGGACGGACGGACAGACAGACAGATAGACAGGGCTGAATCAACACAGCTCGTCGGCCTGATCAAGAATATATATACTTTATGGGGTCTGCCAAGTCTCCTTCTGCCTGTTACATACATGTAACAAAACCATACCCCTGTTTCAATCATTTTTCGCGTCTTTCTGCTTACACAAGACACACACACGCACACACACGCATATACACAAGCATACACACACACATATATACACATTGCTGAGGGCAGAGCATGCCAAATGGTGGCCCAAATTCAGAGTGCCTGCAATAGCAGCATGTTACGCCGCAAGCAGTTCACGCGACAACAAGAGCCTACGTATTGGTGGAATGCATAAATAGGTGACATTCGACGCAAATGCATCCAGGCGAGAAGAAACTATCAACGGGCTCGGGGTAGGTCTACGATTTTCGAAAAACAATTAGCCTACCAGGCAGCCAGAAGACAGTTGAAGAAGGTCATTCGGGCAAGCAAAGAGACTGCTTTTTAGAGCTGTGCGACTCAGCCGAATATGACCTTTGGGGCAGGGCATATAAGATAGCAGATAAAAGACTATACGTAGGTAAACAGGTGCAGCCGACGGATCGTCTGGAGCTTAAATCGATTGTGGAAACGCTCTTTCCAGAAAGATTAAGCTCCATTCATGCCCCGGAGTCCGAGTCTGCTAATCAGGGCTCAACGAGCACTCAAATTGTTTTAGTTACAGACGAAGAAACCTTAGTAGCTCTCAGAGGTCTTAGAACCAACACAGCTCCAGGGCCGGACGGGATCCCAAATCGTGCGTTAAAGCTAAGCCCTCGCCTTGCACCCTAGTACGTTCGCCGAATTATTCAACGAATGCTTAATACAAGAGACGTTAACTGCAAAATGGAAGACACAGAACCTGGTAGTGGTAGCCAAGGATGGCAAACCACCAGACGAGCCATCCTCATACAGACCGATCGGCCTCTTAGACACCATGGGAAAGGTGTTTGAGAAATTGATCTGCTCTAGACTGGAGACTGCTATTGCTAGCGCCGGAGGCCTATCACCAAATCAATTTGGATTCCGGAAGGCCCGGTCAACAACAGATGCTCTAGAAAAAGTTGTTGGCCTGGCAACTTCCACCATCCAAGGCACCAGATGGAGGCACGGGACGAAGCAATACTGCATCATCGCGACCCTGGACGTTAAGAATGCCTTCAACACAGCTAGTTGGGATATGATACTGAATGCGCTGTCACAATATAATTTCCCTAAATATCTAAAAGAGATAATAAAGATAATAATAAGAACACTGGTATACAGCACGAGTGAGGGTCCCCAAACTCAGGCAGTGTCAGCTGGAGTACCCCAAGGCTCAGTGCTGGGGCTTCTCCTATGGAATATCATGTACGACGGCGTACTGCGCTTGGAAGTACCAGCAGGTGCGCACACCTTTGGCTTTGCTGATGATGTGGTTGAGTCGCCATAGACAAGGAGCTTAAAGATACAGAGGATATGTGCAGCGAAAGTATCAATCGCATACGAAGCTGGTTGACAGGAGCTGGACTCGAGCTAGCGGCGCGGAAGTCGTCCTAGTATGCAGTCGCAAAAATGTGGAGACTGCGAATATAAGGATAGGCAGCGTCACCATCGCGCCAAAGAGGGCGATTAAGTATCTTGGCGTCATGTTAGACACACGATTAACTTTCCGCGAGCACTTAGAATATGTGCATAAAAAGGCAGCTGATTCTTGTAGAGCTCTCTCAAGAATTATGCTTAACACGCGGAGACCTAAGCAGCAACGACGTCTTCTTCTAATGAGCGTCATTAGGTCTGTCATCCTCTATGCTGCGCCAATATGGTCAAGAGCGATGGCAACGCCGAGCTACAGCCGGGGCATTTGCGCGATCTACAGACTGAGCGCAATCAGAGTCAGCTGCGCTTTCAGGACTATCTCCGATGATGCGGCGCTTGTCATAGCCGGCATGGTGCCACTGGAGTACCTGGTCGCCGAAGCCGTGGAGCGGCCTATGCGACACAACGCTATCAGGGCGAACAGCATTGCACGATGGCAAAGAAAGTGGAATATCTCAGCTAAAGGGCGGTGGACGCACAAGCTCATCCCGGAGCTCGAACCATGGATTAACCGCAAACACGGCGAAGTTAACTTCTATCTTTCGCAGATCCTCTTGGGCCATGGATGCTTTCGGAGCTATTTGAAGCGCTTTGGTCACGAGGAAACTGACGTGGAAGACGCCAACCACATTCTTTTCGTATGTGGACGGTTCCTGGAGGAGAGGCGTCGTCTAGGAGAGACACTAGGCCGCTCCATCAGAGCGGACAACATAGTCAACGCCATGCTGGAATCGGAGGAAGCTTGGGAGCTAACAAGCACCTTCGCGGCCACAAGCACCTCCGCATAGTCGAGCGAATAAGAAGACGAGCTGTCCTAGGCTAAGGTGCATAGTGCTTGCGAAGCAATGCTTTACGGCCGTCCCGCAAGCATCGCGCGCTATCCTAGCCACCACACAACTTGCAACTTGTAATATAATAAGATTGTCAATAAACGAATATAAAACAAGTAAGAAAGCTCTAGTCGAGAGTGCCCGACTACGAGATCCCCTGAACCCTTCGAGCAATAGCGGTTTCAATCATTTTTTTGGAGCAATAGGTATTTCAATAATTTTTCGCGTCTTTCAGCTTACACAAGAAACACGCACACACACACACACACACACACGCACGCATGCACACACAGGCATACACACACATACACAAACACACGTACACAAACACATACACACACAAGCACCCACGCATAAACACGCATGGGCTGCAGTGTGAGGGGACAGGACAGGGCCAAATCGACTCAGCTCGTCGCCCTGATCAAGAATATATATACTTGTGATTTATCGGCGATCGGCGGCGCAACCCTGCGCGGAGAGTTTTGAGCGGAGAGTTGCGTCGCCGACGTCGAGCGCTTTGGGCGAGGGAGAAAGAAAAGCGAGAGTTAGTCGGGCTCAAGCAGCGGAAGCCGTCAGATGGCGAAGAAGAGTAAAAGCTAAATTGTGCGAGTGATTTTCTTTAAGTGCGGTTAGATTAAGTAAATCGAAAAAGTAAAAAATAAAACAACTTGGCAGCAGAAAACAAAAGGGAATAATTACATTGAGAGAAGCGACTGAGGCGGATGCGTGAAGCTAACAAAGGATCGGACGGCGGCGAGGCGACGGCGAGTGTAAGGTTGGATTGCAAAGCAAGAGGTGCACGTGAGTGGCGGTCCCCATGTTGAATTTCTCCACCCTCTTTCCCTATTCCCGGTCAGATTACTAAACACCCCCCCACCCTGGTGTCACAGAATTCTAATAAAAATTTCTTGTGAGTATACCCTAGGCAGACTGAGTCTATCCCAGCTATAAAACAAGTAAGAAAGCTCTAGTCGAGACTGCTCGACTACGAGATCCCTGAACCCTTGGAGTAATAGCTATTTCAATAATTTTTCGCGTCTTTTAGCTTACACAAGAAACACGCACACACACACATACACAAACACTTACACACACATACAAACACAAGCATAAACACGCATGGGCGGCAATGTGCGCTTACTATGAGAACTTAATTGTTTAATAACTTTTTTTTGTGGACATACGATCTTCATGAAACTTTCAGATTATGATTATGACATGGCTATGCATGTATTTGCTAAAGCACAAGTCTCTAGTTTTTGAAATACGCTTTTTACAAAAGTGAGGGTGAGGGGGTGAATATGGGAGTGGGGGGTAAATTTTAACAAAAACCGAAATTGTATAAATTGCATATAAGCATACATAAAAAATTTGGAAACTCTAGCAATAAAGGTGTAGAAGATATAATTTTATAACTGGTTTTCGATAAGGTTTTTTTTATCGATAAAAAAAGATCGGTATGAGTTATCGATTTTTAATGATAAACTCGATATCCGCGCTGTAAATGCGGACATTAAAAAAAAAAATTGAAGTCTCTAGCTCTTATTTCTGAAATCGACGCGTTCATACATACGGACGGACGGACAGACAGACGGACAGGGCCAAATCGACTCAGCTCGTCACCCTGATCAAGAATATATATACTTTGTGGGGTCTGCCACGCCTCCTTCTGCCTGTTACATACTTTTATCAAAACCATTATACCCTGATTTCCCATTTTCAATGGGTTCAGGGTATAATTACTACTTTACAAGTGGCGCCCGAGCAGGGACACAGGGCGGTGCGCGGTGCGTCTAATGGCCGACAGTTAGAGGTCGAAAATTGCGAAATTCTAACATATGTATGCATGTATGCAAGTATGTAAGTAAGCGAGCGAGAGGGAAAGTGAATAGGAAAATGAACAAGTGAACGCTTATGTAGAGGTGCATGAAGACGGGAGTGAATTATTGCGCATATATGCAAATATGTTGGTGGATATTGCTGGCTTAGAGGAGAAAAAAAAGAGAGGAGAGAATAATTTGTGCGAAAATAGTTGTTAATGCCAGATCCCATTAACAAGAATTGCTCCTCCCGCACCACACAATGTTATGTTGTTAACAGCATTCTGTTAATAACATCACCCAGTTCTCCTACTGGTTCGCGGTACTTAGCGCCCGCTGAGTACTTCGTCTCGCGCCTCACTTGCCTCACTTGCCTCTCCTGGTACATATGTACATCTTATTACTAATGCTATACGAGCAACACAGCTTTAATCTTAGAAATAAAGACGAGGAAATTACAACCCGGTCTTTTTGCTTATCGGCGACGCCACCACTCCAACATTTGGTCCTTCGAGCCGGAGCTTCGTCCACCTTCACACCAGCATTCCATCGGCCGTCGAGATAAGTACCCCATTCTTGTCTAGAGTAGTACATACATATATATATGCATAAATACACTGGCACCTCTCATCCGCCTTCCCTTGCATATACATATATATGTACTAATCTAGCAATATTTCGACTACATGCCTATATGTATATATTCTTATATATATAGATATGTATTAAGCTGTGTTTAAATCCGATTAATATTTATTAACACGAGAAGAACAATATCCTTTGTTGATCGTTTAATAAATTTATTTACATATGTATTCTGCCTTTTCACACATCCGCACATATTCATATTTATAACTAGTCGCCGGCTGCAGAGTGACATATATACATACATATATATGTACATGCTCCTCGCTTAACTATTAAATAAATCACATTATCCTTTGTTATTTTTAATAGTTTTATTTTGCAATTTAATAATTAATCCTCCAAGCATAATTATTTCTACTTGTTTTATTTAACTATTTGCTAATTGTGTGTCCGCTTTCTTCTGTTTGTACGAACATACGCTCATACATACATACACATCCATGTATGCACATATGACAACATATGGCGTACAAATAGCCAAGCAACACAATTAACATATATGTAAATTCACAATTGCAACTTCCACACACATATACACGACACATTTACAAAATAATAAACTTAAATTGTTAAATTGGTTGTTTTGTTTTGTGTCCAAGCAGCTGAGATCGTCACTAGTATCGATAACATTTTCAATAACTATCACCGGCCGCCACAATTTCTGACGATAGTTGTGTCACGACACTGACCAGAGAACACATAGACTAGACATGTAGAACAAACTTTTTCAACACCGAAAAAATGCGCTGACCGGACCAGACAACTTCGTATTTGGTCGGCTCGGTCTTCTGAGGCTCAAGCAGTGAAAATAAGGCAAGACAAAATCAGTGTGCTGCGACTGCTGCCACGAAATGCACGCATTACTAAATGAAGCACGGCTATGCGCTCTTTTTCCCTTACTCACTCTCTCCCTCTCTTTATGCTCTCTCTCTCTCTCTATATGGTCTCTCAAATAGCAGCAGCGCACAGAAATTGAATATTGTTCGCGACGATCCCAGCTCTTTCCTCTTGAGTGAAGGGTATACTGAAATTTGTAAAGCATTTGTCACGCTCATGCAAACAAAATGTAAGCGTTTCGATGGTTATTCGTGGGAAGGGTATGAAAGCGTTGATACGCATAAACAATATTATTTCGCGACGGGCAAGTACACACACACTTGTAGTCCCTTGCTACATGTGTGAGCATTTGTGACCTGCGTGCGTTACTCTTGCTGCTTGTAGCAATTTTAAAGCACAGCATTTGCATTTGGTCGGTCTTACGGACTGTCATAACCACTTTAAACAGATGTACTATGTATGAACATACATGGCGTCGCCGATAAGCAAAAAGACCGGGTTGTAATTTCCTCGTCTTTATTTCTAAGATTAAAGCTGTGTTGCTCGTATAGAATTAGTAATAAGATGTACATATGTCTCGTCAGTACCAGGAGAGGCAAGTGAGGCAAGAGACGAAGTACTCAGCGGGTGCTAAGTACCGCGAACCAGTAGGAGAACTGGGTGATGTTATTAACAGAATGCTGTTAACAACATAACATTGTGTGGTGCGGGAGGAGCAATTCTTGTTAATGGGATCTGGCATTAACATACTCCCCCCCCTTGCAAGGATTGCAAATTAAGACGTCGTGTCCAAGCTGGAGACCTCTTGCTGTGCGGATCAAGGTCGTCAGCGGAGCTGTGACCGCCTGTTTAGGAGTCGAGGCGGAGAGACGTGCTGATCCCTGGAGATGCAGGAGCGTGTGGTGATTCTGGCCACACGTTTTGCAACGTCCCTTGCTTCGGCAGGATTGCCCGGAGTGCTCGTGAGCCAAGCAGTTCGTACAGTACTTATGTGTAAGTACCGCACGCATCCGCTTCTCCCCTGAAAGGCCCAGAAAACGCTGGCAATTCCGGAGACCGTGGGCTCCCTGGGCACACGCGGCACTGGAAGGAATTGGTACCGCGTGGCTTGCTGCTTTCTGATGACGGCGTCTTTATCTGGAAGATCGAATGAGTTGGAGGTAGAATTACTTGCTCGTTAGGACACAACATGGAGGTTAGTTTGACAGCACAAGGAGGACGAGGATCGGGTTGAAATGATGGGCCTGAATGAAGAATATCATTCAGTGCTGGACGAAGAGCCTTGAAACCGACCCTCACTTTCGGAGTGGTGCTGTTTGGAGCTCGGAATGGAAGAGCTTCGTCAGATGATACGGTTGGCGGAGACTCAAGTTTCGCCTCTTCCGAAACGGAAACCTGAGTTGTGAAGGAGGAGACCGTTCCTGGTATCATCTGTGACAGTGGGCCTGTCAGTACCCAACCGAAAACAGTCTCCAGACCTATAAGAGGCCCACAAATATTAGGGTGATAACCTCCCTGAATGATAGTCGGAAGGATATCCGCGCCTATCAGGACATCAATTTCCGCACTCTTGTAGAACTCGGGGTCAGCTAGCTGAATTTTCGGAAGTTTGTTTAACAAGAGTTGCGGAACTGGGGACGAAGGGATGTTACCAGCCAGATTTGGAACGACGAGAGCAGAAGCCTTGATTCGCATTCTCGGCTTCAACGGAGAGCCAATATCAAAGTTGCATACCTTGTGTGCCTCAGCTGTCACTGCTTGATTCAGGCCGGAGACCTGAGTATGCACGGACTTGAATGGCAACTTGATTTTTCGGAACAGTCGCTCAGAAATGAAAGTCGCTTCGGACCCTGAGTCGACTAAAGAACGGGCGGGATAAGTTGCGCCGAAATGGCATATATTAATCACCGCCGTGCCGAGGAGGACACCTCGTGTGTTGGCAGCCAGATACGTTTGGACGTTGGACATAACTGGAGTACGAGTCGGAGCTATAGCCGTTGCGGAGGCAGCAGCGGTCCGAAGAGTATTGTCCCTATGGAGTAGGGTGTTATGTCGACCATTGCACGTGAAACAGTTGTGAGTACTGGTACACTCTCGTAACTGGTGAGCTTTAGCGAAACAGTTTAGACAAAGCTTCTTCGATTTTATGTAAGTTTCTCGTTCATGAATGGATAGTTGGAGAAACTGATGGCAGAATCGGATTGGATGATTCTCTCTTGAACACAGATCGCACCTTGTGCCGATTGTGTCCACTTGCGTTCTGAACGAGTTCAGTCGTTCGGGAAGGGCAGGGTTCGCAGATCTCGGAATTGAGTTCGGAACTTTTGGAACAGAACGGTCACCTTCCATAGCTTCAAGAGCACGAGCGCGCTCGCTAAGAAAGTGACTGACGTCCTGCCAGGCTGGGATTTCTGTTTTTCGTTTCAATGAATGCTCCCAGAGAGATCGAGTTTGTTCCGGCAAATTTGAAGTGCACAGGAACACAAGAATGCAATCCCAACTTTCAGTGGATATCTGAGCATGCTCGATTGCCGTGACACATCTGTGCATAGTGCTATGCAACTCTCTGAGAGCCGAGCCTGACTCCTTGGTGATCTTGGAAAGGTTGAGAAGAGTTTTAAGCTGGCTGTTGACTAACAGCCGCTTATTCTCAAACCGATCACACAAAGAGACCCAAGCCGATGCAAATGAATTAAGGTGGAATAGCTTTTCCACCGGAGTTAAACACGGATTGTTTATGTAGATCGCAGTAAAAAGATCGCGGAATGTTGGCCAGCGCAAGTAGTCGCCGTGGAACACTTCCATGTCAACGGGTGGAAGGCGACAGCCTTCAGACGTGGCGAAAGGAGCGGACATAGGAGCGGGCGGTGTACTCGATGCGGAAAGTGCGTCGATCTGTACACCCAGATGGGTCGTACACCGCTCGTAGACTGTGTAGCAGTTGTCGAATTTGGCCTCCGTGGCTTCAACTTCGCCACTGCTTGCCCCTTGGCTCAATGCTCTGGCACAGACCTTATATTGCTGCTCAGCATCATCCCACAATGCCTTGACCCGATCTCGACGGATCTCGAAGGCCCGGAGCTGAGCCGCCTGGGTGGCATTAGAGTCTCCGGGACCGTCAATGCGCGACTCAAATTTGATGAGCCTATCCGCAGCCGAGATGAAGTCAGACAACGACATTTTAGACGGACTGGCGGGCTTTATACTAGATCGGGTGACGACCGGACTACGCTTGAAAGTGCTGCTTGTCTGCGGTTTCCCGGACGGAATGGGTGATGCAGAGGCACTGCGCTTGATCAGACGCGAAGCTGGTACACTAAGTTGCGCTCGACCCGAACGATCAGACATGGATGCTAACTAGAAGTTAGCTGCTGGAAATTTCTGATATGGAGACAGAAATTCACTCAAAGAGCAAAGTAATTCAGTTGACAAGAGCAAGAAAGTTGTCAACTGAACGTAGAGCAAATTGGAAAAGAATTATTGCCTTGTTAAGCAAGTAAAGCGAAAACAAAGAAGAAGAATATTTATTTAATTAGGATAAATTTAATAATTAAAAGGGTGGCTTTATATTTTGCTTTACAATGGCTCTTTGAAATACGATAAATACTGATCGTGACACAACTATCGTCAGAAATTGTGGCGGCCGGTGATAGTTATTGAAAATGTTATCGATACTAGTGACGATCTCAGCTGCTTGGACACAAAACAAAACAACCAATTTAACAATTTAAGTTTATTATTTTGTAAATGTGTCGTGTATATGTATGTGGAAGTTGCAATTGTGAATTTACATATATGTTAATTGTGTTGCTTGGCTATTTGTACGCCATATGTTGTCATATGTGCATACATGGATGAGTATGTATGTATGAGCGTATGTTCGTACAAACAGAAGAAAGCGGACACACAATTAGCAAATAGTTAAATAAAACAAGTAGAAATAATTATGCTTGGAGGATTAATTATTAAATTGCAAAATAAAACTATTAAAAATAACAAAGGATATTGTGATTTATTTAATAGTTAAGCGAGGAGCATGTACATATATATGTATGTATATATGTCACTCTGCAGCCGGCGACTAGTTATAAATATGAGTATGTGCGGATGTGTGAAAAGGCAGAATACATATGTAAATAAATTTATTAAACGATCAACAAAGGATATTGTTCTTCTCGTGTTAATAAATATTAATCGGATTTAAACACAGCTTAATACATATCTATATATATAAGAATATATACATATAGGCATGTAGTCGAAATATTGCTAGATTAGTACATATATATGTATATGCAAGGGAAGGCGGATGAGAGGTGCCAGTGTATTTATGCATATATATATGTATGTACTACTCTAGACAAGAATGGGGTACTTATCTCGACGGCCTATGGAATGCTGGTGTGAAGGTGGACGAAGCTCCGGCTCGAAGGACCAAATGTTGGAGTGGTGGCGTCGCCGATA